GATGAATTTGCCATCCATTATTAAACCACTATTATCCCTGGCTGTCAACTTGATGCTGGGTGCTATATTTGTACTGTTTGCATCAAACATGCTTGGATAAGAAGTTTAAGTGAATCTAATACAAATATCCCCATTGATGTAAAGTAGCTTTTTAGTCTAATGCTTTTATTTTTTTTATTTAAAGTGCCAGTGAGCAATACACACCAAATAGAATGTGGAGTTTTTTTAAATGTTGAGACTTGTGTGTAAATAAAATATGAAGTTTACCTTTGCGTTAAGGAAGATGCAGAGGTTAATTGTAGCAATTCTAAAATGTGTTCCTGTCGCTAAAATGGAATTCTTTGGGATTTATTTATTTTTATTCCTCTTGCATAGTAGTGTAAAGAAGTCAAATATTCTGTGTGTGGATATATTTAAAATGTCTTGATGTGTCCTTATGGTCTTGCTGGTTTTGTGTTTGCTTTAGATAATGCGGTGCTAACCTTTATTTTAATGCTTTTAAAATATATTTAAAGTGCGAAAAGTTACTGCACTATCCCTTTATTTTTTTTGTGTTGCCTTAGGGCTGGGATATTTTTTGCCTTTTTAGCTTCCTTTTAATTGGAAGTGTTTCCACTTTCACAAGTGAAAGTGAAAATGCCATTTGATCCAAATGCTATGCCGTCAATAGCAACCTGCTATTAATTGCCAATGTCTTAAAGCATCTTTTTCTTTATAGCACTCTTTGATTAGATTAGTAATCAGTAATACATTCTTCAGGTTTTATAAATGAAAAGTCTACATAGACACAAGAAACTTGCTAATATTTTAAAGAATTACAGGCAACGTAGGCAAAACTTAGTAACATGGCTTAATATTCCTTAAATAGTTTGAAAAAAAATAAGGACTGCGGTGAGATTTTAAGGGACCTATAACAAGTCAAATACTAGAAGCTACAGAAGCTGGTACTTTAGGATGGTGTAACTGTGGGTTTTACCCGAGATTCTGTTAATGCTGTGTTATTCCATCATTTGCAAGTAAAGAATTTGTGTTCAGCTTAAAAAATGAGGTACCGGGTTTGAGCAGTTCCCTTCTCGTAGCCATCCTGGGCAGCCGACTTGTTTTGTTAGAGGGTATAGGGATTAAGTAAATTTAAAAAGGGCATCTCTTTAACCATAACTCTGTAACATTTCAGTGAAGAGAAAGTGATGGTTCTGTTATTTGTTTATAGAAAAAATATAGGAAGGCCAGGAGTGGGAGGAAAACATCAGTAGTTGAGGAAATCACGAAGTTGAAAACTTCTTTAGTAATGTTTGTTACCTTTGTAATATTGTTAGCATTTTTTTTAAAATGTTTTGGTTTAATGAATAAAAACCTGATGAGATTATGATCCATGTTTACTGTTAGGTTTACTTTCAAGCATACCTGAATTCTGAGTATAACCTGCTTTTATATTTTACTTTCTCTCATAAAAAGTTTCAGTGTTAAAATCACTTGCTTTCAAAAATAGCAATAAAGTAAAATAGACTTTAAAAGTTATTGCCTCTCATCTTCACAGAGTTTTAGAAAGGTGGATATTGCTCTTTTCTGCTTTACAAATGGAAGCTTGGTGGAAAGTTAGGATTTATTTTTTTTTTAAGAGGCAGGAAATCTGAGCTAGTTCTAGGAATCAGCAAACTTCAGTTCCTTTTCCTAAAAGTCTTTAGCAGAATGGGCCCAAATTGTACTTACTTGACTGAAGGGGGGGAAGATACTTTCACCATGTAAAGTTGCACTGATCTTAAGGTTAAATTCCCATTCCACTTGTCCCTCCGCAAAGACGAAAGAAGATGGTACCTGTTCTCACACCTTTTTCTCAAGGGGGAATGGGCAGAATAATGGCAAAAGTTCATCATGCATCTCTGTATGTGGGCCCTGGTAAACAGAACTTAATCACTGCTGCCTTTTAGATCCTTGTTCCAAAACCAGCAGATCTTAGCAGGACCATTTGGTAGTACAGGTGTTTTAGATCAAGCTGTGGACAAACATACATTTCTATCAAATCAGAAGGAATGAGTTACCTTTACGGTGGCTGCGGGAAGCCAAGCAGTAGCTGACTCACTCTAAAGGCAGCATGGTGCAGGCAGGTATTTACATCAGCGGGCTTTATGTGAAAGCAGGTAACTTATTTCTTTTTTTAAACAAATGTAAATTTACAGAATCACAGAATCGGTTTGGTTGGAAGAGACCTCTGGGATCATCGAGTCCAACCTTTGCCCTAACACCACCACGTGAGCTAGAACATGGCGCGAAGTGCCACGTCCAGTCTTCTTGAACACCTCCAGGGATGGTGACTCCACCACCTCCCTGGGCAGCCCAATCCAATGCCTAATGACCCTTTCTGTGGAGAAATGCCTCCTCATTTCTAGCCTGACCTTCTCCTGGCACAGTTTTAGACCATGCCCTCTTGTCCTGTCATGAGTTGCCAGGGAGAAGAGGCCGACCCCCACCTGGCTACCCCCTCCTTTCAGGTCGTTGTAGAGAGCGATCAGGTCTCCCCTCAGCCTCCTCTTCTCCAGACCGAACACCCCCAGCTCCCTCAGTCGCTCCCCATCAGACTTGTGCTCCAGACCCTTCACCACCTTCGTTGCCCTGAAACTGCATCTCATAGGGCCACAGCATTTTTGACCCAGTGTTTAGAGCTGTCTCTGGTATGTTGTGGAACAACAGTTTTAAGTTCATATACTTTACCTTGTTTTTTGTGTTAGCAGTAGAGTAATTGCACCTTTCTAGTTGATGGCTGGTTTTGTTTACTTGTGGTGCCCTGGTGGGGGTGGGTGTCATGGACCAGAAGCGAAGGGCATGTGTGGGGTTTGCCTATTAAATGAGGTGCAGAATCCTTATTCTACCAAACCAGCCCCCTCAGGGACCAGCAAGTTCTAGAAGCACGTAGGCATGCGTGGAAGCAGCACTTATTGGAGTTAGACATGACGATCAGGAGTTGGACTCTGATCCTTGTGGGTCCCTTCCAACTCAGGACATTCTGTCGTTCTATGATTATTAGTCCAAGCTCAACTGCAGGGCTTCAGGGCTGGATTTGGCCCTTTGGCCAAGCCTGTGGTCAGGGAGGTGTGCCCTTACTTGTCCTCGGCGGTTCCAGGTTTTTATTTCAGAAAGTATTAATAACTTCATGAATAAAGGAAGAAGAAACATTCCTTTAAAATTCAATTTCCTAACAAATGGACCCGCTGAAGGTGCTCTAAAATCTCATAAAAGTGTATGTGAAAAATGAACTTTTTAAAAGTGGGTTTGAACTTCCATAAATTACTATGCATGTTATTTCCGAAAGCACAATTAATATGATATTACAAATATGTTGCTATGTTATTGTAAAGGACCACAATTCTACAGAAAAAGGTATTTGAGTGTAGGTATAAAATAAATAAGCAAAATTGAGTGATCTATAATAGCTAATGGCAATGCTGTCCTTGGAGTGGTATGAGAGTGGCGTACTTCTTTTGTTGAGTTCAAACAAAAAAGGTTGGGTTAGATTCCCTCAAATTTTGGACACGTTACTTCCCTTCTGTAACGGTGGCTGTAATGTTCATGGGCTGGTTTCACTAGGAGCTACACTGGTACGAATTACCTGTCATATATCCACGCAGCATCGCAAAAGCTGCAGTGTTGTTTGGCTCTGTCTGCTTCTAGGCTTGGATTTGAACATGTCCTCTCTATCGCCTTCACAGTTAAAGATTTTATATTTCCACATTTTGTACCTTCACCGTTAGAACATTTGTCTCCAAAATATCAGCTGTTGCGATAGCTTTTCTCAAAAAGCATCTTAATGTGAGGTGGGAAAACAAGCAGACCTGAGAAGTCAGTGGCATTTCTCTGTCTGTGACTGGAACGCTGCATCTGGATTTGCCTTTGTGCTGTGTTGCAAAGTCGACAGCTAAAATACAAATGCAGTCATTAAATGAAGAAAAATGTTCAGGATAATTGGATTAAAGCAGGGAGTTCTGTACAGTATATGACTGGGGAGGGCAAGTAATTTTATTACCTCTGTTTTAAGTTATTTAAATTCTGGATGGCCGATGGTCTTCCGGCATACAAAGAATGATGCAGATGATTAGGTTTGTAATGGTATTGTTAATTGTTTCAAAAATAATCTAAATCTGGGTCTATGTGCTGCCATCAGAAACTAGCTGTGCATTAGAGTTCTTTAAAGAGTTCAGCTGTGGGCACCTTTCGAAATGAAATGACTCTGAGAACGGTTTCATTGAGAGGTTGGGAAGGAGTACAGCTGGTGAGCTGCTGTGGTTCGCTGTGTAGATACGAGCCTGTTTCACGGAGGAATTCGGAGCGCACAGCAATGGGCTGTAGTCCTGGCGAGAGCCCCGCGCTGCCTAAGTGTGTGTGTGAGATGAAAACATCCCGAGGCATACTTTTTTTTTTTCAGTTTTCCGGTAGCCCTTTTATTCCCGTTATCTCTTCTAGTAATTCAGTGCTATCCGTATTACAATCTCTTTTTTTCCTGTTGTAATTTTCTTTGCCTGTTTTGCTGGCTAGAAATGGCTAAGCGGTTGTCAGGAAGGATGTCCCTGTGTCGGCGCCGGAGGCTGTTAATGACCTGAAAGTGCCCAGGGTGGGCTGCTTCAGAGGACGTCTTCCCGTAGGTTGTAATCCCGTACTGCTCTTGGGAGCTAAAGTTCAGTTACAGAGACTTCACTATCATACTCTTGTGTTAGTGATGCTAAAGGAGTAATTGCCACTTTGCCTCATTGCTGGTGACTTCTCTTCATGGAGGAGAGAGAGGAAGCCCCTACTGAGTGACCTCTGCGTGTTACCATGTCTCGCCTATGCTCTGTGCCTTTCACCTCCCTTCTGTTGAATCTGGATTATCAGCATTTTGAGAGAGATGTTTTTAAATTTAATTAAAGTGCCAGCCAAGTTCTGCTTGCTCAAAAAAGTCTTTCAAGTTTGTGATGCAAGTTTGTATTTATAGCATTAAAATGGCTGTGTTGTTTGTTTTCTTCTCATCTAGGTGCTTGAACTGGGATTTGATTTCTCATCCTATGGATCACTGAATGAGTAACAGATGGCCTTGCCTCGTCTTACAGGCGCTTTACGCTCCTTTTCAAATGTCACTAAGCATGAGGATTACAGTGAAGAATTAGCTGACTTAACGGTAAAGATTTTTTTTTTCTTTTCCAAGGCATAGTTGTACAATATTAGCATGTATACAGTAAGAATCGCAGAATCGATTTGATTGGAAGAGACCTCTGGGATCATCGAGTCCAACCTTTGCCCTAATGCCACCATGTCAGCTAGACCATGGCACAAAGTGCCACGTCCAGTCTTTTCTTAAACCCCTCCAGGGATGGTGACTCCACCACCTCCCTGGGCAGCCCAATCCAATGCCTAACGACCCTTTCTGTGGAGAAATGCCTCCTCATTTCTAGCCTGACCTTCTCCTGGCACAGTTTTAGACCATGCCCTCTTGTCCTGTCATGAGTTGCCAGGGAGAAGAGGCCGACCCCCACCTGGCTACACCCTCCTTTCGGGTTGTTGTAGGGAGCGATCAGGTCTCCCCTCAGCCTCCTCTTCTCCAGGCTAAACACCCCCAGCTCCCTCAGCTGCTCCCCATCAGACTTGTGCTCCAGACCCTTCACCACCTTCGTTGCCCTTCTCTGGACTTGCTCCAGCACCTCAAGGTGTTTTTTGTAGTGAGGGGCCCAGAACTGAACACAGCACTCGAGGTGCAGCCTCACCAGTGCTGAGTACATGACCCTGCTCCTGCTGGCCACACTATTCCTGATACAAGCCCAGATGCCATTGGCCTTCTTGGCCACCTGGGCACACTGCTTTCTTCATTAACATTTCTGCTTTATAAGAGTAGGCAAGCAAGACTGGGCAGAGTGTGTATAGTTTCCTGTGCATTCCTTCATCGTGTCCTCACGCAAAGTCAAATTTGCTGTAGCTTTGTGATTTATGCTAGACCCTCACAATCATGATGTGCTTTATGGACAGGGTTTCTTGGCTGTGCTAGTACAGCCCTGTTATTTCATCTTTCAAGAAGTTGGGCTGGGCTGGTATGTTTTTAACTCTGAGCTTATGCGGAGCTGGGGAGCCAAACGTTTCCATTTGAATATTAAATTCACCTTGGACTCTTGTTGGGGGATGTTTAGAACAAATTTAATGATACTGAATTTAGGTACTTCCCCCCCTCCGAGAAATAATGCATTAAAGCAATAGATGGGTTGTGAGAACCTGTAATGTGAAATGAATTTGGAATCTTCAGAGCTGTAAATCTCTTGAAGTTGCCAGATTTTGGCTTTACAGAGAATTCTGCCTTGGAAAGAGTAGTGAGAGAGCGTGTGTGTGTGTATCCTCCTCCTTCCTTACACTCAGGAAAAAAAAAGCTGATAGGGAAACTGCTTGCAATCATTACTATATACTGACTGAATGCAATTGGAAAGAGGTGTTCTTATCTGGTGTTTCATTTTAAAGGAACCTCCATACAGTAATTTCAAATAATAAAAAAAAAAATCCAAATATTTTGCATTTTCAGAATAAAAGATCAAAACTACATGCGCAGTTGCTGAAGTCTGATCTTACTTGGAAGAAGATAACAAAGTTTGTCGATGACAATTTGGACAAAAAAGATCACCAAACTGTAAATAGTGATTTAAAAACTATACTACAAGCTGCAAAACAAATAGGTACGTTTTCATTCTCTAGTACTCTAATAATACACTGTTTTGTTGGGGTGGTGGTTTCTGAAGCTGCTTTCTGCCTGCATACTTTGCATACTGGTACAATTTTAGTTCTACCTTGAAGCCAGGCTTGTCCTGAAATATATTTGAAACTCCAGTTAATCTGATATCTAAATGCACAATTTGGTCACCTGTTTTATTTTGAAATACAATTATGTTGTTATGTGGACATTCTTGCTTTTTGATAGTATTGTTTTGTAGTGTGTGGTATGGTTTGTGATCGACTAGTAAGCAAAAGCAGCAGCTTCTTTTGGAATGGCAGTACTCGGAGAAAAGAACAATCTTGGTGTTATCTGCTTTAATTCCATATGATTGGTATCATGAAAAACTGGACTGCTATATGGCAGATAAAAATGTAAGAAATGTTTTCTGCTTGAAGTGTTTGGTGTTGACGAGAGAAATAAATAATGAATTGCACGCATCTGGAATTAATCTTTTAAAACTGAAATACATTATGGCAAAGAAAGTGTGAAAACTTAGTTTTGATTGGAAGCTTAGTTTTTGATCGACAGACTTTAAACTAATTCAGCTTGTACTGTTAGCAGATTTCAATTTCAGCTCATAAACCAAGCACATGGCTCAAGCTCTAGCTGTCACACATTTAAGAATTTTTCATTTCAATCTAATAGGTGTATTTTCTCCTTTTCTGATTGTGTTTCAAATGTCTTGAATAGATCCCTAAGTAAAAAGACTGAGAGAATTAATATATAGAAATATTTTTGCCTTTTTTGGCATCATAGACCAGAGGTTTTTATCATAATACAAATGTTAACCTGCCTCACTTGTGTTTCTGTTTCTCGACAGTTCTTTTGGAAATAACTTGCAAATTGAGAAAGAAACAAATATCTAACTGGACTTTCAAAAAAGGCTAGACAAGTTATTTGTGTCCAGCATGTAGTAATCAGTTGTGCTGTACAGTTACACAGAAGATGTCTCTTCAAGCTATTAATGATTGTAATGGCTATTGCTTTACTGAGTCATCAGAAGAAAAATTTTCAGTATTTCTCAAATGACTTTAAAAAATTTTTTAAATTCGTCTGACAATACATGTGTTCTAAACTTTGCTTTGGGGTTCATTCTTTCCATGTTAGTGACATAACTCTGTTATTTTTACAAATTTGATCCTAATTCTTTTTTTAAATCCTGTTTTTTCTGAATGCAAGTAGTAAAGCTTGTGCTGTTTAGTAGACTTTAACCTGTTGTGTTATTTTTACAAATTTGGTCCTAATTCTTTTTTTAAATCCTATTTTTTCTGAATGCAAGTAGTAGAACTTGTGCTGTTTAGTAGACTTTAACCTGTTTAGGCCAGAAGGGAAGCATGTGGCTGCCTGTCTTTCAGACAGACCTCTAGGAAGGGCCATCTCTCTGCCCCAACTTGGGTACCTCTGCATCGGTGCACAGATTTCAGCTGGCACTTGGGATACACGAGGTTTGGGGGGAAAGTCATGTACGATGGAGTCTGTGTTTGCATCAACTGTCAGTGCCTAAAGTTAATAGGGAAAAGGTGCGGTCTGTATTGATTAATAGGTCTGTATTGATTGAGAAGATTTACATAGTTGTTTTAAATATCTACTGAGTATAGTTTAGTCATAAGAGGTACTGGAGTAAAATGTTCTCTAAGTTAGGGTTGTCGAGTATATAATAATTATAAAGTTTGCAATATAAATAGTAAGACTATGTGTAGTATAGCAAGTAGGAAAAAATGTCTGCTGATGGAAAAAAAAGGTTGTGAGCAAGTAAGTATTTGCCATTCTTAACTGCAAATGTTATCTATGAAAATAATTTGGCAGATTTGTATTTTCTGTATTAATGGCGAAATGAGTACTAGCTGTGTGAATAATTTTTTTTAATTTTCACTTTTTGCCAAAGATGGCTGCAAAAACTTTCTGATTTTTTCTTTTTTTTTTTTTCTCCCCTCCTAACTTTAATGGCAGACCCAGTGTGGTGGGTAGGTAGAGCAAATTGAAAGACTTGAAAGTGAGTGATAAATTTTTGTTTGTTGGAGTGGAAAGGACAAAACAAATGCATGGTTATTTAGTTAGAATTTTTTTTTTTCCTCCCCTCCTAACTTTAATGGCAGACCCAGTGTGGTGGGTAGGTAGAGCAAATTGAAAGACTTGAAAGTGAGTGATAAATTTTTGTTTGTTGGAGTGGAAAGGACAAAACAAATGCATGGTTATTTAGTTAGAACCAGTTAGAAATGATCAACTTTGACACTTCGGAATAAAGATTTGTAATGTTGTGGAGACACAAACCAGAACGGATTACAGTGACTGAGGCACAAACTGAACTGATAGTAATGTTCCAACCATCGTCATCGGAAATGTATAGTAGGGAAAAAGTGCTTGTATACCTTTCTGCTTTAATTTTAAGGAAATGAAATCTCAGCCTAGGCAACAGATACTGTAATACTGATTTACTTTATGGGAAGAAGGTCACTTACTGAAATGATCTGTTTGGCTTAAAAACAAAGAGTAGCCTCAAGTAGTGCATCTCTTGCCGTTTTGCCTGGCTCATTATATTCGGAGGGGAGGGGTAGTGTTTTTCTCAAGAGATGCTTCCACGAATAGCAGACATTGATAATAAAGGAGAATTAGCACATAATAAACCTAAGAACCTTTTCTCAAATCCTTCAGTACAATTACTGTTTTAGTTTATTAACATGTACTTCTGTTCCGACACGAGTGACTTCAGATAATGATGTTTATTTGTATGTTAGGAATACAAGACTGAGATTTATGCAGCCAAACTGAAGTCTCTTAAGTTTTTAGATGTTGTGTTTTGTGGTTTTTGGTTTGTGTTTTTTTTTTTTTCCTCTGATTCCTATATAGCTAATGTTGAGAGGAAGGCTGAACCACCTTTTGCCTTTGAGATACTTTCACATATGTGTTGTATGTGTGTGGATCTTTATCATGTATTTTCCATATGTAGGTATCTAGTTGTCCTGTAAATATCGCCTCAAATCCTCTTCAAGAACTTTTCAGCTTTTCAAAGTGCACCGTAGGTAAATTCAAGAGAAATACTGAATTTTTAGGTGCCTCCATTTATATGGTATGTCTCAAGTTACTCAGCCTTGTTCCATCTGCTTGTGCTGGATTTCTTTTGCTCTTTCCTGTTACATTGTGGTGGAAAAAACACCCTTACTTTTGCTGGGGTTAAACATGACCTAAGTCGAATCAAGTCACAAGTAACAATGTCAAAGTAATTAAGAGTATTCTTACTGATTTCAGTAAGTTTTTTTTTTTTTAACAGGCAGAAAGTGGGGACATAGTAGAGCAAATACTCAGGCCCAGAATTGAATAGCAGGGGTATACAGAGGCAGGCGCAAGACAGTTTTGATTACACCAAAGAGAATAGCCCCATTTACTATGCCAGAAGTGCCATTTGGAGGATTTAAAAAATGAATAATACTGTTCCTTTTACAATAAATAGTTTGTTTTAATAGTTCTTTTGAATTTGCCGTACCAGGAGTTAATCATGAGTGTTATCACTTAAATCATACTGTTCTCTGCTGGAGTTGTGCCGGTTGATCTTGATATAACTAAAGAATTGTCTGGATAAAGACATTTTGACAATAGCAGCTTGTAAATCTCCACAGTAAGCTTTTTAAGATGTTCTAAAAATGATGTAATCTTGTAAGAAATGCTGATTCTGCTAAAAAATGTTGGAGTAACTGACTCAACTTTTTAGAACACATTTTTTAAACTTTAAAAAAAAAAAAAAAAGTCTGCATGTTGTCCTCTTATAAAACAAACAAAAAACCCCAGTATGCTGGCTGGTTTTGTTTAGTTTATACTTGATTACCTCAAAAATTTTGCTTACTAGTGACATTTTGTTCATCATATGGTGTTTTTGCATATGTTTTCCTTGAGTACCTTTGTGAATATTTGTGTAAGAGGTAAATGAATGTTTTTCTCTAATAATATATTTTTTATTTGCATAATACAATATTTTGTAGATACAAATCTTAAGCTCATGCATTTATTTGCTTTAATTTCTTTGGGCAATTTTTCTAACTAACACACATTCTGTAGTAATGCTACTGGGAATTACTACGAGAATGTAGTAATTCCCAACTGAGTTCTGTATGTTCAGTCTGTTATGAATATTCAGATTAGACAGTGAATAAACAGTGAGACAAAGTGGAAATTTGTTACCTTTAAAAAGCTCATAAATATACTATTGTGAGTTTAAGGCCTCAGGCAAGTTTTTCTCTAACTCAGAAAAATAAGAAAGCATTGGTAATCCTTAATATGAATTTCTAGTAAGTAGAAGGATAATGAAGACAGATGCTTTATATTACCTTGTGTAATTCAGTACCTTGCAACAATTGCTGCTGCTTGTTATGGTCGTCGTTTCCTATCTCTGTTGATGAGACTTGCAGCAAGAAATTGAATACAGTTATGTTATAGGCAATGAAAGAGAATTAGTTTGAGGTGTATAAAGTTACATTTCATTTTGGTTTTGTTAACAGTTGGAGCTGAAAATGGACAAGAAGCAATTGAAAGCGGAGCTGTTTTTCTCTTTAAGACATTTCACAGGAAAGAATGTGTTGGCCATGATGAAACAAAGGTGATCAAGCAGATGTTTGGGCCGTTTCCATCATCATCTGCTACTGCAGCTTGTAATGCCACATGTCGGATTGCTTCTCACTTCACTGAAGAACAGCTTACAGCCCTCATACGGATGGCTGAAGAGCAAAATGGTGATAACAGAGTGTTCTTTGGTAAAAATATAGTGTTTTCATTTGACATGCATGATTTGGATCACTCTGAGGAGCTGCCTGTGAATGGTGAGACCGATGCACAGAAAATCATAAGCTTAGATTATAACAAATTTCTGAATAACCAGCTGAATCAGTTACAGAATTACTGTGATGAGAAGTCTGATCTCAAGTCCTTGGAAAAAGTAGATGATTCTTTTTTATGGTGTGAAGTTGGAAAATATCTGAATGAATCTCAAGGAGGTACCCCTGGAGGGCCAACAACAGAAGACCTCTGCTGTACTTTGTACGAGATGCTTGCTTCTACCAAAAGTGGCGATGAACTTCAAAATGAGGTACAGTAGTGTATTAACCATGCTGCATGTATTTGACTGTTGCAGAAATATACAATTTTTTCATACTGGATTATGACAGCATACTTTATCCAAGTATCGTATATGCTTTTCCTTTTTTTTTTTTTCTTGTCTTGAGAAAAATTGCATGGCAACATCTTAATTTACCAGGCAGAAAATGGATGCAGCATGAATTTTATGTGAATAGTCTCCTTTCCCCCATAACAGGAAGACGTTTTTATTTTTTGGCCATTTGCTCAGCTTCTCCATACTTTCTTTTTAAGTAGCCAATTTAAGCTACCATATAAAAATGTGAGTACTTTCAAAGCCAAACGGAAGTTAACTTTCTTGGGCAGGTTCCATCTCCAGTTTCAGAACCTTTTTGTTGCTGGAAGGAAAGTTGGAGGACTGCGCAGGTGGTGCTACTTTAAAACTTTTTCATATCACTTCTATTTCTTTTGATAAGGAAAGGGAGGGTGGGTTTATTCCAAGAAGGGCAGAGAAAGCTTGAGGGAGAGAGAGAACAGTTGCTGGGAGGCTGGAGTTGAAGGATGGGCATGGTGGGTAGAAAGGGGAAAGAGCATGATTAAAGGCTGGTGAAGAGGCTTTCAAGACATATGCAGGAGGGATGGTTGGATTCATCTAGGCAAGAGAGAACTGTTTTTGAATGGGGTTGGAAGGGAATACCTGCAATTTGCTAATTGCTTCTTCCTATGCACTCTTCTGTTATGTGGGGTTTTTTTCCTAACTTGCCCTGCTTTCCTCCCCTGAAAACGTCCAGTACTTAAATTCTCAAACAGACTTTTCAGAAAGACTTTAAATATTGAAAATTTGCTACAGAAGTACAACTGATGGTAGGAATAGACGATTGCGTGAAAGACGATACAATGAAAATTTGCTGGAATTTTGCCATTACAGTTGCAGATCTTCTTCATGTTTTTGTTGATAAGAAGTAATAGAGAAGAGGACCTGAATATTTCATTTTAGGTTTACATAACTAGGTATTGATATCTATCGTGTAATGGTATAACTGATGAAGCCATATTCTTGTTTTGTTTGGTAGTCAGTAAGATCACATTTTGGCTGTCCTTTGAGCTGTTTTCTGTACATGAATATTTTCTTTTAAACTTCTTCTAATTTGAGAACCTAGATATGAATATAAAGGGAAGCTGATCTAGTTTCTACTGCATTAAAATATATTTGAAAACTGACACTTATGCATATGTGCAAACAGTTCGATATTTTGGGTGGTTGTATTGAGGGAAGACGCATGAAAATAGAGAACTGAACAGGTCTTGGAGAAGGAGATTGGATAAAGAAACTTGCATGTCAAATGAAACATAAAAAAGAGTGCCTTCATTTGCCGTAGGGACCTGAAGTTTATTAATTGTAGAGAGATAAAGATTTCAAATTTTTGTTTTTCTAGATCAGTGACAGACTTTTCAGGTATAGTCACAAGGTATGCAGAAATAATTTCATACTCCTGCATAATGCCTAAATTAAATTTGTAATATATTAAGGGAAATGGTTGAAACATTTCACTTGAAGCAAGAAGAAATAACTTTATTTTTATTTTACAACTTTATGATCATAATGGATTGCTAAATCCATTGGCAGAAAGTTCAAGCTATCAATTTTTAAGTAGATCGCCGATAAAGACTTCCTTTTCTTTGGCTTTTGGAACAAAGACTTTCTGGCAAAACTTCTGGTTTGATGGCTTTACAGGAGTTTTAATTTGATAATATGAAAAAATTGTTTACTCTGCCAGTAATCTGAAGATTGTTTAGCAAGAGTAAATACTTTTCTTTGCGTTACTGGAGAGAAAAAGTATTATTTCCCTTGAGTGTCTGAAACTTGTGTCTTATTTTGGATTTTTAAGAACTCTTAGTTACATAAAAATAAATTTTCTCTTCATTTTCCTTATTTCATCTCCCATGTTGCCTTTCCTTGCAACAGTCTTATTCATTGCAGAATGTAGGGGCAGGACTGATTTGAACCTGATCACCTTTTGTTAAAAGCTAGGTAGCATTTGTATTGTGGTCTCTGTAAGAGTAGTCATGACTTGAAAATTTCTTCTGGACTTTGGATTTTACCATCACTTGAGGGTTGTTGGTTTTTTTTTTAGACAGCAATTTTGTTGGTGGCATCATTAAGAGGAGGTGGTGCTTTTGAACCTGAAGAGAATGCATTTCTAGATCTAGGTCATAGATTTGCTGTATGAGATGGTATAATAAGTATGTGATTCATCATGCCTACTGAATATCTTATGTTAATTGGGGTAATGCATACATGCCAAAGTCTCTCTGCTTTATGAAATTCTTTTTTTCTTTATGAACCAAGAAGCAAACCCTTACTGATATGAAAGGATAATTCTTTGTAAATAAAAATCCAAATCTGTGAAATACATTTTCATATTTTAAAACAGTGGCTGTGTCTATTCTTCTGTTTAGCAAGATACTACCACCTGTTTGTTATTAAACAAGAAAAGAACATGCTGGTGGTGAAGATGTAGGCGAGAGGACTACTAAGACAATTTCATTTGATCCTTAAGCAAAGTTTATTAAGATTCCAGATCACGTTAAGAATATGAGCATTTTTAGATCATTTCAGGGGTGACATCTTGTATTTTTTTGTAGTGTATGTATAGGCACATACGTGCATGCTCTTTAATTTTTATCGACTTGATGAACTCTACAAGGAATTGAAATGAGCTGCTTTCTCCAGCACTGTATAGCTAATGTTAAAAGTGGTTGATGAAGTAGAAGATATACTTTGTTCTTTGTTTTCACTATTTAAGAACATTCCACACTTCCTTTGGGACAGTTTGTTTATCTGGCACATCACTGGTGGCTCTTAATTAGAGGAAAATTGATTCTTATGCTTGGAGTGATATGGGAGTTCTAGCTTATTTTCTAAGTGCTTAAGACACGTGCTTTTCATTGGGGACATAAAGTCTAGTAAATCTAAATGACAACTACTGAAGCATACTTTTCACTGTATGTCAGATTTTGTTGATGAGTATGAAATGGTAATGATGTGGTAACGAGTATTATTTAAAAACAGGAAGAAAAAGCTGGTGACAAACTGTGGAGTTTTGCCCAATAACCATCGTGCTTTTTTTATTATTAAAACTTAGTGTGCAGTGCATTCCTCAATTCAAGTACCAGTTTCTAGTGTATGACGCTTTCCAAATGAAGACTTGAGGCATCTGAGAGCATTTTAGCAACTTTGCCACCTAATCCCTCCCAGGATAACTAGGAGAAAGTGGGAGGACTAGTCCGTCTTTGGTTACACTATGCTGTTCTCAGTAGGTGTGTGTCTCTTCTGTGAATCTTGTCATAGTTTATCTGCAAAATTTTTCTGCAGTTTATTTCGGAAATACCTATCTCTAATGGAGAGGTGCATTATCCCTTCATCATAACAAAACAGGAAGAAATTTCCTGCAGAGATTAAATAACTAGAGGAAAAAAAGGAAATGTAATCAGAATTGTGTTAAGATCTAGTTTATATTGCATAGATTATGAAAAACTGTGCAATTTATTCATTTCAGGCCAAGGAAAGAACTTCACTCAAGTAAAATTAAGAAACATCAGTGTCATTCAGTGTATTGGATTAAATGGTGTTTCCCAGGCAAAACCATGTTAAATGCTGTATAAATGCCTAGAGGAACACTAGGTTATGATGTGAAACAGCAGAACGGTTTCAAGAAAATTACATTGTAAGTAGTAGTTTGCATATTATGTCAGTAGTACATATGTTTACTTATCTCTATATATGATGCATTTATTTGTAAAATAAGACACAAGAAGTTTAGTGCTTAGGCTTCTTTTGTCTGCTTTATAGTTGTGACTATCTCCAGCTCTCTGCATTAAAAGGTAATGTATACATGTACTTGAACAATAGCATCCAGGGCTTCCATCAGTTAAATGCAATCCAGTTGTATTGCAAACTGTCATAGTGGGAAACAAACCTTCCTTTTTATTTCTTTTTTAAGAATAGTTTATTTTTCATCATTCCTTCCGAAAAAGTAAAATATGGCTTCTTCCTTCTTGTCATTAGCACCTGAGAACATTCAGGTGATGAAAACTACAGTAAGAGACCAAAGGATAGTAATGTGGCATTTGAAGGTCCTGAATCCTTCCTTTAAGGGTCAAAAAGATTCCTTTCAAATCAAAGTAGACCTGAAATCAGAAAAGTACAAGTTGTGGAATATAGGTTTTATATGATGGGGAAAAAAAAAAAAAGAGGTCAAGAGTTGGGCAGCACCTCTTTCTGAATGTCTTCCTTAATAGATCCATCCAGTAATAGAGTCATCATTAAAGCCGGAAGGTTACAGCTTTATTACTGACATGCAGTTCTTTTCATACTTACTTCAGAATGGAAGTTAATAGATTATTTTGTTTTTTCGTTAAGTAGAATTTTTTCTTTTCAGTGTAGTGTTTGTGTGTCTGTGAATGCTTGATGGAGCAACAAACTTTTAGACTGTTTTCCCCAGGCTCTGCTGTGGGAGCTCTGTTGTCTCTCAGGCTTCTGCCTGTATCTTTTTTTTAGCTGCCTTTAGCACTGGTGACCATATAATGATTTATTTTTTTTTTTCCCCTGCTTCAGTTTGTCTGCACAGTTTCTGATACCCTATCCTAATCCTACCATAAACATCTGCCAATATGCTTTGTTGGTCAAACCTGTAAATTCTCTTGGGATGAAGAACAAGGGGAACTTAACTAATTTGTCAATTCAACGAGCTGGCAGGAAGCTCCTCTGAGTCTGCCACCAGCCTTTCTGCAAAAGAAGTACGGAAGAGTAAAGGAAAGCAAAATCTATTTAAACTTTCACAGAGTCTGGAAGGGACCTTTTCTGTCAGTGATACAATATCTTAAACTAAGGAAGACTCATTAATACAAGAATGTGGGAAAGTTTGTCCCAACTTCTCCCCTGGAGACTGCTCCGGAGTCTTGTTGCCTGGGTGGTTAAAATGAACCCTTGTTATCTGGTTTCTGGCTTTA